AGAAGGGAACAACTGTTCAAATATTCCAGTTTGCTTGTAACCTCATGACAAGTTGCTCACTGCTTCCAAGATAATCAAATTCAGGTTCCTACATAACAAGAATAAAGCAGCATCAAAAAAATTTAAAAATTATTTGAGAAAGACTACACATTCTATAAAAAGTTTCGGGTGTACATATATCATATTTATTAAACCAAAAACATACACATGACAAAAATAAATTTTATGCAACTTTTGTGAATTGTGCATTTCTTCGTATTTAGAACTTCCGATTTGCAAATCATAAATCATATATGGTTTGATCAGATAATTTAGAATCCTATTAACTATATTCTAGTTTTTTTGGCTGATGAATGTATTCTAGTTAATATACATAATCACAATCTTCAGTCATGATTTTTAGATTTTAAGAAATTTAAGTTTATAACAGATTTTAGTGCATGTGTATTAGATCCGTGACTAGATGTGTTCCTGAATTCTATCGGTCATATCCTAGGAAACAACCAAAGCACCTGTTCATCTATCTCCAGCCCTAATATCCTGAATAAACAACCATGTGTTTCAAAAGTTCTTCTCTTTAAAAGAGCCATCATGGTGACTTTCCATTTCCATTGATTCGAATTGAAGATAAAGAGCATCTAAGAATAAAAGCCCAATCTAGCACACATGCCTCATCAATCATGCATTTTAACTTGCCATATTCAGTATCTTCCCAAACTCCAATGGCAAACTTGTCATTTCACAACATGAGTCTACGGTCAACTTTACAAATGTCACAAATTTAATTGAATAATGATTTAAAGGAAAGGTGAATCTGATATATAAATAATGATATATTATTACCTACGCTGCTCCCGATCGTTGAGGGTATTCTAGTTGGTCGGGTTGGGCAATTGATGATGGCTCAGAGTGGGGCTAGGCATTTGCCTGTGTAAACTAAGTTGAAAAAAAAACCTGAAGTGAAAGAACGACACAATCAGTGAACCTCTTCACAGATGAAGGTATATTCTCTGGTAGAGTTTTTATGACTCTGTCTAACTCCTGCATTTGTTGCTTTGCAGTCACTCTAACAGGGTCACAATACATATCCATAAGCTCTTTCATGTGTGGTGCCTTTCCATCAGACTATATATTTTATAGCTCTCAGATACAATAACAAGTTCTTCGGTAAGACTTAAAAATACTACAGATGGATCATTAAGTAAGGGGAACAGAATCAAGATTTTCAAGCAAAATCATAGCAAAGATCATGCAGATAGAGACTAGAGGCATTTGAAAATTATGCAAATAGAAAATTACAGACACCATCAGCTTAAGACTTCTCCCATTAAAACGGTGTTGGATATGGAGTCCAAGCTCAAAAGTATGTGATGACATTTTGTGGTTGATTGTCCACCCGAAATTAATTCTTAGTCTGGAGTAATGAGGGGTCTGTCATAAAGCCAAAAAGCCAATGGACATGAAGCAAAATCTATGAATTGTTCATCATAAAGTTGATGTTCATGCAACCACGGTGCAACCTAAAAATTCTTTGAGAAAATATATGCCTATTTGAGGAAAGTAAAAATTTGACATGCCAAAATAACCCGGTGTCCTGATTGTGACAAAAGTTTGCCATCCTAACTTCGTGATTGATAGTATTACATATGCATAAATAGCTCATAAGCTTTTTTTGCTATTATAAATTTCCACTAATCTACACGACCTCTGCATGGCTAATAGAAACTACATAAAGGTGAAGGTGAAACACATGGTTATTAACCGTAAAATGTAAAGTGATGGAAAGTTTGTAAAGCTAATTCAGGGACATAAATAAAGATATGAGAAAATCAATAAATAAAAGTTAAGAGCTTAAGCAAATCACAAATACAAATCAAGGTAATATGTAAAGTTAGAAATCAATATAAAAATAATGAAGTTCTTGTTGATTGGGAATTTAAAAAGCTCTGCGTAATACCACCAGAATCGCCATGTGCTTGACACTAAATCTAGTAATCATAGTTGATCTTAGAATCCATCCTACCTCCACATGTATCCATTTGAACAAATCTACAAGCAACAGTTGTTCATTAACAATGCAGCTTCAGCGCACAAATCTGAAGGAACTTTCCAATACTTCCCCATTGTAGATCCCAACGAACATCATTAGCCACACAAAGAAAGGATCTAAGTCTAACTAGTTACGCGAGATGAGAGACATGTTACATTGTAGCTAGAACAAATACGATCAAACCTATTGAGTAGAATTTCGGGTGCTAATGAATAAAATATAACTAATGCATTTAGTTTAAGAAGTTAAAAAAGAAAAGTTCTTGATGTTTAAGCTTTTACATTGTTACTTATTCATCCATTCAAATAGAATCCAGGATTGTTAATCCTACTGCCCCAATACGTTCAAGTTAAAACATTGAATTACACCAAAAAAAGGAAAAAGAAAGAAAACAAGAGCACACACATCAAATTGTTTCAGCATCCAACAAAAAAATGAGAATTTGATAGCAGAGATCAATCAACACAAAAAGTATGAAACGCTGACAAAACAAGGTTTAGGATGCTTTCACTGGTAGTCTTAATAATTTTATATTTGTGATACGTAAAGCCGTTAATAATAACATAAGCATGGAAAGGGTGTTGCCATGAGTTTAATTCTAAGGCCAAACCCACTCAATTACATGCTGGAAGCACATGCATGAGCTGATTCTGAAACATACTAATAGGACTATAAGCATAAACAAAAAAAGAGGAAAAAAATATTTTTAAACATTCAAAGTCAGAAACTACTACAATCATGTGCATTATTGTATCTCACAATTGAAGTAAGTCGGACCACATAGGATATCTTAGACTTTTCCTGTAATCTGAAGGATCATAATGGAACACAACAGTAAATGAGAAATGTTCTAAGTGATGCAAAAAATTTAATGAGATCAAGCAGATAGAAAAATACCTCCTACTCCTCCTGGTTCTTTATTCCCCTCGTATGCCATCAGGAATGGCTTTGCCTTCTACAAAACTTCTTCAAGAGATATTGTTGGTGTATCATTAATGTCTGATTTCTATCAAACTCCATCAAATACTCTGGTTCATACTCGATCTACACAAAACCAAGCGACCAAAGCTATATCTGTTTCTTGCTAACTTACACACCCGCCTGGTTTTTCATGGCGAAGAAGAAGAAGGTGAGTAGGAGAAATCTCTTCAACATAGGATTGAGAGCAGCGGATTCAAGTTTGATTAGATTGGGGGATCAAATTGATACCAGTTTTGCTGAGGATGATGAAGGAGTCAACAATATAGCTATGGGCTCGACAGGTCCAAAAGGGGAAAAGAAGAAGAAATCAATGGAGGAAATACTCCGATCTGGCTCGACAGGTCCAAAAGGGGAAAAGAAGAAGAAATCAATGGAGGAAATACTCCGATCTTCTGATTTCCTGGTTGATTCTAAGCATGATATGAGCTCTTCTCAGTTGAATGGAATTCAAGCTCGTCGTCTCATAAGTAAACCTGTTATTTCTTGTGATGGCGCCAGCAGCTCATCTAGGGTTTCTTGGGCAGATGAGGTCGAATTGGAGGTGATTTCTTCTAATTCTAATTTGATTCATAAGCCTTCTGATATTCCTTCTAGAGTTCTTGCCTCCGATAGAATGAACTCTGAATCGATGCTTGATCTCGACACTGTTTCATTGATAAAAGATGTGAATAAGCTGTCTGAGGATAGATTGAATGATTTGTCTAATTCTATTAAGAAGATCAGAGTAGAAAATATTGATAAAAATCCTGTGGTTTCTAATTTGGAGACAAAGGAGAATGATGTCCAGGATGGGGCTGTTAAGGTCCAGAATGATGTGGTTAATAGTGAAAAGACAAACAAAACTTTTGCTAGCCTTTTTGCTGATAATAGGAAAGCAGGAAATGGATTATCTTTGAATTTCTTGCCATCTGCCAATTCCAATACAGTCTCTTTTTCTGCTGAAGAATGGAAGGAAGGAGAAGGTTTATGGAAAAATGCTTTAATTGGACATGTCATAGGATTAAATGTCAAATTTAAATCAATGGAGTCCTATGTCAACAAACTATGGGGTAATATCTCTATACCAAAGGTCTCACTAATCAAACAAGGATTATTCCTATTTGACTTTTAATCAGAAGCTTCTATGATAGAAATTCTTGAAGCTGGCCCCTGGTTTTTTGGGTCCAGACCTCTAATGCTGAAACCATGGAGTATTGATCTTGATATTGATAAGATGCAAGACTTTTACTATCCTATGTGGGTGCAATTTCCAAATTTAAGGTTAAACTTATGGAGCTCAATAGGAATCAGTAAAGTTGCCAGTTTAATTGGTAAGCCTATTGCAACTGACAAGCTCACGGCAAATAGAGAGAGATTGAGCTATGCAAGAGTTTTATTAGAGGTCAAGTTGCCATTGAAAGATCCATTGCCTGATCAGTTAAACATTCAAGGGCCTGATGGAATAAGCTACACACAATTAGTCATATATGAATATAAACCAAAGTGGTGTTCTTTGTGTAGTAAGATTGGTCATGTTACAGAACAGTGTAGAAGAATTAAGACTAAAAGGATGTGGGTTCCTGTTATTAGACAGGCTGAAGTTGCTCCTGTACTTAGCAAAGAACCTGCTATTATTCCTGGGCTAGAGAGAGATTCTGTTGTTCAGCAAATACCTGAAGCAAATATCAACACTGAGCAAATTGCTGAAAAAAACAAAGAGACTATGTCTGCTAGAAAACATGCACAGACTGAAAAACATGCACAGGCTGAAAGTAGAATTGTGGGGAAAGGGAGCTTAACATTTCCAGCAAATGATCCATATCTCTACTCAGCTCCAATTGTCAATGCTTCTGGATTTTCTAGCGTCAACAGAACTAATCTAGCAAGGAGATCTTCTATAGGCATTGCTGAATTCTCAGGTATTCAATTGTCTCATTTCTCCCCTTTAGATAACCCATCATGTGTTGATAGGGGTGGTAATTCTATCTAAATGCATCTTGCTATTTGGAACATAAGAGGATTTAATAAATCCTCCAAGCACAAGATAGTAAAGCAGTTCATACAAGAATATGATATATCATTAATAGGCCTTCTGGAAACTAAACTTCATGAAAATAAGCTGAAAAGGATAGTTATGCAAATTACCAAAGACTGGAAATGGACTTCTAATGTGCATGAAGCCAGGAATGGAAGAATTTGGATTCTATGGGATTCTGATATTTTCAATGTTCAAGTATTAAGCTCAACTGATCAACACATTACTTGCACCATTGATTCCAAAAATGGGAAGTTCTCTAGCTTGTGTACTATTGTTTATGCTCAGAATCAAATGGCTAACAGAAAGACCCTTTGGAGAGATCTTCTGGCTCTTAAAAACAATGTCAATGGTCCCTGGGTCATTGGAGGGGATTTCAATACAATTTCTAGCTATGATGAAAAGATTGGAGGTATACCAGTTTCTGATACTGATATAGAGGATTTTCAAAATTTCATCAGTGCAAGTCATTTACTTCATCTAAAATCAATTGGATGCTACTTCACATGGAATAATAAACAGGATGCTGATAACAGAATCTGGTCTAAATTAGACAGATGCTTGGTTAATGAGGATTGGATCCATCAATATACAACCAGTCAAGTGGAGTTTCTGCTGCCTAGATGTTCTGATCATTCTCCTGCCTTGTTAACTATTGAAGATGATGCTATAAAGGGTAAAAGGCCATTCAAATTCTTCAACATGTGGGTAAAACATCTTGAGTTCATCCCTACAGTCAAAAAAGTCTGGGAGCAAAACATTGAAGGTTACAAAATGTACAGTTTCCACACAAAGCTCAAGAAGTTAAAGCTTGCTCTCAAAGAACTGAACAAGAAGCATTTTATGAATATAAGTGAACAAGTGCATAGAGCAAAAGATGAATTAGCTGATACTCAAAGGCTGTTAAATGGTGATCCCTTCAGTTCAGATTTGATCAATAGAGAAAAGGAGTGTATCAAAAAATATGACAGATTACTGGAATGTGAATCTTCCTTCTACAAGCAAAAAGCTAATATCAGTTGGAGTTTAGAAGGAGATAAAGGCTCTAAATTCTTCCACTCTATCAAGAAAAAGAAAAGACATCATAATAGAATTCTTACGCTATATAATGAAAGAGGAGATAGAATCACTGATAATGAGGGTATTATATCTGAAATTGTTGGATATTACAACAAATTGCTGGGAACCTCAGTCCCTACATCTGATCCTGATCCGATGGTGATTGCTAATGGACCTCTCCTCTCACATGATCAGAGTTAAGCTCTTAGTACCCCAATTACAAGAGATGAAATAAAAAAAGCTATCTGCTCTATGTCAAATGATAAAAGCCCTGGACCAGATGGTTACAGTGCTCTGTTCTTCAAAGCCTCCTGGAGTATTATCAGTGAGGAACTTTTCTCAGCAGTTGAAGAATTCTTTACCTCAGGGAAACTTCTTGGTACAATCAATACTACCTCCATCACCTTAATTCCAAAGATTCTCAATCCACAATATGCATCTGACTACAGACCTATATCTTGCTGCAATTGTTTGTACAAAATCATTACTAAAGTCATTGCAACTAGAATTCAAGGAGTAATGGGATATCTGATAAGTGATGCTCAAAGTGCATTCGTAAAGGGTAGACTTATATCAAGTAATATCCTCTTAGCTCATGAGATTGTTAAACACTATGGTAGAAAACATTCCTCCCCTCGTACTATTTTGAACATTAATTTGAGGAAGGCTTTTGATACAATCTCCTGGGATTTCATCAGAAAAATGCTGATAGGATTGAAATTTCCTGAAAATATGACTTCTTGGATCATGGAATGCATTTCAACCCCCAAGTTTTCCATCTCAATCAATGGTGTTCTTCATGGCTACTTTCAAGGGGCTAGAGGACTGAGGCAAGGTGACCCCTTATCTCCATACCTATTTGTTATTAGAATGGAATACTTGTCTCGGAAACTCAGCACTCTCAAAGAGGACAGAGCTTATAAATTCCATCCCAAATGTTCGAGGCTGAACATAACTCATCTAGTGTTTGCAGATGATCTCCTCATGTTTGGAAAAGCTGATATAGGTACAATCTCAAAATTAAAGGACTGCCTAACAGAATTTAGCCAAGTTTCTGGCCTGGAACCTAATCCAACTAAATGCTCCATATTTCTGAGTGGGATTGATGAAAGCCAGAAAAATCAAATATGTAACTCCATTAGCTTTTCAGAGGGGGTTCTACCAGTGCGCTATTTGGGTATGCCTCTTATCTGTAAAAGACTCTCTTGCCTAGACTGCTCTCCTCTTATTAGCAGAATTTCTGAACAATTTCAAAACTGGCTTAAAAGGAAACAATTATCATATGCTGGCAGATTACAGTTGATAAAATCAGTCATTATGGGAATTCAGATCTATTGGACTAGTAACTATATTCTTCCCATCAAAGTTCTTGAAAAAATTGATAGTATGTGTTCTGACTTCTTATGGGGTCACAAAATTCATTTAGTGTCCTGGGAATCTGTATGTCAGGGGATTGACCATGGTGGCCTGGGGTTGTTTTTAGCTAAATTTTGGAATTATGCTATGGCAGCGAAGCTCCTTTGGATGATACATCTTAAGAAAGATATTCTCTGGATTAAATGGATTCACGGTCACTATCTGAGATAAAATAATATCTGGCAAGTCCAAGCTAAGAAATGCGATTCATGGCTGTGGAGGCAACTGCTGAGAGTGAAAAATAATATCTGGCAAGTCCAAGCTAAGAAATGCGATTCATGGCTGTGGAGGCAACTGCTGAGAGTGAGAAATTTGCTGATTGATAAGCTCGGAGGTGTTAATAACTTGCAAAATGCCATCAGAGAAAGCTGTATTAATGGCAAGCTCAGTGTATCGGTGATGTGCAAGAATCTTTTTCAACAATATGACCTGGCAACATGGGCAGGAACTGTGTGGGGTGGATGGCATATATCTAAACATTCCTTTATCCTCTGGTTGGCAGTTCAATCAAGACTCTTAACACAAGAGAGACTATGTAGAATGAGGATCTTGAGCTCCAATTTGTGTGTTTTATGCTCTAGGGAAGGCCAAACAGAAACATGTCACCATCTGTTTTTTGACTGCCTTTATTCTGCAAGGGTGTGGAATAAGGTAATGGATTGGTTATGTTTCAACTGGAGATCATGTGGGTGGAACCAAATCATTAATTGGTACAGCAGGAGCTTGAGGAGGAAAAATTACAAAAAAAAGTTGAAGAGAATGGCATTATCCGTATCAGTGTACATGATATGGCAAGAGAGAAATTTGAGAATCTTCCAACAGAAATCAAGAAGCTCGGATTATCTCTTTAGTATGATAAAGATGCAAGTGTATACAAGAATTTTAAATGACAAAATACCACACTATATGAAAGAATATGTAGATAAATTGTAAAGTTTGAAGACTGGATTTTATAACCAGTCTTGAGTGAACATTCTCTTGATGTACTTATTATTTCCATACTTGGTAAATGAATAAAATTTTTCATTGACCAAAAAAGTTAAATAAAATTCTTAGCAACTCGCAATCCAATATTACAGTCAAAACATTCCTCCAACTCCAATATTACAGATGGAGAGTGAACATTAAAAGTAATGAATAAATCTTAAATATAGCATATCAAGCAACTGATATGCATGCATCTACGGAGTTCCTAGTATAAGAAGTTTGTGTTCTGAGTTGAAGAAATGTATGACATTTTAATTAAGTTACAAGTGTATAATAGGACCTAATGTTCAAATATGCTTCCTAAACTCATTTAACTTTAACAGTATAAACACTTCTACTTATTCTAGTATAGAAGACGTGATCTTCATGTCATTTGTAAAGGAGCTAGAAAAGATTAATTCAAAAATCTCAACACCAAATGATGTTGTATATTTTTCATTTGGTTAATAGGACATTTGTTGTACATATCGCCACATCACTTATTAGACATTAAAACTTTGAATTTCATATTCATCATGCTCATAGTTCTTGTAACATACCAACTTCTAGTCAATCTATCAGAAACACGCAACATAACCTATCACCTATCCTACACTAAATAATCCAATTTCATTATCATTATGCTAATAGGGCTTATAACTAACGAACATCTACTCAATTTGTAAAAAAAAAACAATAGAACAATGTACACTTTACCAAGTTGTTAGTATGCAGGGCATCAAGATATGCATCCTCAACCGGCGAAGGCAGCACCGTGGAGCTCATTTCCTCAAATGCCTCCTCGATAACCTTCATCCTCTCCTCTCCCATCCTCTTCACAAACTTCTTCCCATCCGCATTTTCCCCGACATACAGCTCAAACTCATCATCCACATCTCCCCTCCCTTTCCCTCCTCTCCACCCCTCTCCCCCTCCCTTCGTCTTTATCCCCAACTCCTCTCCCCCTTCCCTGGTCTCCGCCCGTCTCGCCCCTCATCAGAACCTCCACCGCCTTCTTCATCGCTTCCTCCTGGCTCAGCGTCGAGCCCCATAGTGTAGGCAATAAAAATTGCCTTTAAATCCTTATCAGAGAAGTTCAGAATAAAACTGCTAAAACCTCGCCCGAAATAGCAAAAAGGGGAAAAAACACTGATAAAAAGGGGAAAACGCAGATATCTCCCAAACCGTAAGGAATTTGGCGAAACGGAGGAAGCGAACCAAAGCCTTTGGCTTGGTTCAGATGGCTCCATCTCATCAAGATAGGCGATTTTCATATATAGTTCGTCTAATTCCGACTTACGATTTGAAAGTTACGGCCTATTCTTCGATCCATGCTCAGGAGTTCGCCTGCAGACCCAAGTCTGCCTGCACACCCGAGCTCGCCTGTAGACCCAGTTCGCCTGCAGACCCAGCTCGCCTGCAGACCCAAGTTTGCCTGCAGTCACAAGCTCGCCTGCAGACCCAGCTCGCCTGCAAGCTCTCCTGCAGACCCAAGTCTGCCTGCAGTCCCAAGCTCGCTTGCAGACTCAGCTCGCCTGCAGACCCAAGTCTGCCTACAGTCCCAAGCTCGCCTGCAGACCCAAGCTGCAGACTCGTCAGCTCACTGTCAACTGCCCACTTGGAGTATGGGAACAGTTACATCAGTGGTCAAATCCCACAAATCAAGGGAGCAAGCATGACGCTCCTCACCTAGCAAGAATAGGGCGGCTGACAGGACCCCCTAAGTGGTCTCATCACACAGCTAGGGCGGCTGACAGGATCCCCTAAGTGGTCACATCCCACAGCTAGGGCGGCTGACAGGACCCCCTAAGTGGTCACATCCCACAGCTCGGGCGGCTGGCTCCCTCACCTCTATTAGTGGTCAAATCCCATGAATCAATGGATGGCCCATGCCATCCCTTGCCTATTAAAACCCATCTTCATCTAGCATGAAGGGGCGAATTGGCTGTTGCATATTCTGCTAGCTAATCTCCCAAAGGTTGAACCTGGACTTTTGCCAAAGGCTCCCTCATTTGAGAACTGAAGCTCCGGCAGCAACTTCGATCGGATCGTCCAAGGGAAGCAAACTCGGCACGAGCACCGAGCGAGGCGTCCTATCGCCACCGAGGAACCCACGTTAAACAAGGAGGGCATTCCCTCTACTTCTGTTGTAATTTCGATTTATTAGTTTGTAATAAGCCTTCTTATCAATACAAACGAAGTTCCTTGTTTTCGGGAGATCAAAATTTACACCTACACCTGGTCACGGAGAAGGAGGTGAGAGGGGATGAGTGGGAGTTTGAGCGAAGGAGGATGAGAGGCAAAGGAGGAGATTGGGGATCTGTATAGATTTTTAGGGTTTTTATAGAGCGGTGAAATGAATTTTTTTTTTGGGGGAGGGGGGAGGAGTTGCGGGCTTTTTTTGGCGACGCAGATGAATAAAAAGCATCATAAAAAATAGACCTTTTAGCGATACAAAGCATGTGCATTGTGAAAAAGAAACTTTTAGCAACGGTAACATAACACGTCGTGATAAATGCACACTATTAGCGACGCCAACCCTAAAACGTCACTAAAAATATATATTTTTACTGACAAAAATGAAAAACATCATGAAATCCATACACTTTTAACGACGCTAAGTTAAAATATCACAAATAATATACACTTTTAGTGATGCTAATTATAAACACGGGGAAAAAATATATGTTTTGCCGACACTAACTAAAATTATCGGGAAAAACATAATTTTTGGTGACGTATTTAACCATGCGTTAGGAATAATCGTTGGGAAAATTACAATATGTTATAGTGATAATTACCTGAATGTTATCCTATCT